AGGGACGGCTAAAAACTAGGACAGTAGTCAAGGCCAGTGGGAGCGGAAGGCAATAATCACTGCGTACAGGCCCAACTCATTCCAACCGCATGAACTTCTACTGAAATTGTAGAAGTTAACAGCAAAACTAAAATCACAAACATAAATCAAAAACTGAAATCAAATTTGGAATAAATACAGTTTGGTACGGATCCCGCACTTCTCGCCCGTTCCCTTTCCTGCCACACCTTCCACGTGACTTTTTCTTATCTCCGCTGAGAGCAAAAGATTAGTTCGCAGATAACCTGAATTCAGCTGGTATCCTGCTATATATTTTGAAGCTTTTTGTAGACTTCACCGAGGGTTGCTGTACCCTCAAACTTCTTTTTCGGATCCCAGGATTCCGAAACCCGATCCCTCGGCCATCGAGACATCCTTCGTTGAGGCCATCGTTGCCTCTTCGGCCCTTTTGGCTGCAGCCCTAAATCGAGCCACTTTCGCGAGCTCCCCTTGCTGGATCTGGCGGATCCGCGCGAGCTGCTCTTTTGTCACCGGTCTGGACTTGCTGGGTCTGGCTAAGCAGACCCGGGAATCCGATCGGTGAGGTCCCCCACAGTTTCGACACCGGGTGAGGGCCTTGCACTCTGATTCTGAGTGCATATTAGATCCGCATTTCCAGCAAGCTGGAGCGCGGGAACAACCACGGGTGGCGTGAAATTCGAGACACCGCTTGCATTGTTCGATTTTGCGGCGAGGTCGGAAGAGCTTTGCAGCTCCAGAGTCGCCGAAAAGGCGGAATCCGGGCCGAGGTGCGGATTCCCGGGCTCCCTACATTGATTCTGTCCAATCAATATATACATCATAGTAACCAGACCAACCTAGCCCTTACGAGTGCTGGCGACACTATAAACACCGCCATGGTTGGATGGTGCGGTGGTACGTCGTTTTGGCCGGTCTGCCAGGTAGAGTCTGGATAGCTTGGACACATATCTCACTCGAGACAGCAGATCACTGGTTCAAATCCGGCAAAAACACAACCACACTTCTCGCGGCTCCGGTATGCATGGATGACGAAGGCATGCTTGGATAACCAAAGGTTCTGAAATTCCCTTTGGCGGATACTCACGGAGGAGGGTCGACTATTTGTGTAAGCCAAGATATCTCATAGTGGTATTTGCAAATGAAATCCAGAGTATGAGTGTCTCTAACGCAAAAAGAGTCATCCCACATGTATACATAGCACTGGTCATGTGTCATAGCTAGATAGCTGAATACACATTAAATGATTAAAAAAAACCTAGCCCTTACGGGGTACACTTTCTATTACTCAATTATTTAATTCGTAACCCAGGAGGACGAAGGCTGAACACATGTCAGTGGTGTCTTCTATGAACCTGGGAGTGAAATATTCTCCCAGAGCCGAGATTCAGTCACGACAAAGGGTGGGACGAACTTTAGTTAACGGATTTTCGACTTGAGAGAGTTGCACTCGATGTTTTGGTCGAAAAATCAGTCGGCAGATATTTCACAGCCTCAACAAAGACGTTTAAAAACTCATCACCACCAACATACGATTCACGAATGGGCCTTGGTCTGTTTGGGGGTCGTATTAAAACATCTGACATCTCTCAAACTCCTTAAATATTTGCGACGAAGCATTTCTCAGTCGATTCTACACCTGCGACCCACCTCCATTCTCGTCACATCATCTACCTAAACACGTCCTAATGAGGAAAGTCATGATGGAAACGGGACGTGTAAAAAGGAGGAAGAAAAGGAGGAAGAAAAGGGAAGATACACTGAGAGGACCGCACAAATCCCCGATGACGACGACAACCCCATGGTACGATATGAGGATGTCAAGGGCTCGGGCATGTGGTGGCCGAGGCTATAGGGGAATCTGCGTCACGGCGTATATATATCGGGTTTCTGGACGGTCAGGCTTGATATGATTCATTACATAGATGAAGTCTGAGGTGCTCCGGTCATGTAGGTGGGACGGGGCACTTGTACTTTACGGTAGTTAACCTGATCCGGCCCGGCTCCGCCCGTGCTTAAGCTCCAGTAGGAGTGCAACGGGAATCACGATACCTGGCACGTTAATGAACGAAAAAATATAAAATATAATAAAATAAAATAAAAGCCCTTAATTCTGGAGGACGAAGGCTGAACACCTGTCAGTGATGTGCCCTACAAATCTCCAGTTTTCATTGTAGAGTCCACAGAGCCAATATTGAGTAACAAGTTCTTCCTCACTTTCACGAGGGTTAGATATCACTTTCGCTGTTTGTATCGTCTTCATCTCTCAACATATCCCCCACTCACCATTCTCATGAAGCTAACCACGATCAGATCAGATTGTAGGGTCGGAGCCCTACTCACCACCCACCCTTGATCATGGATGACATGCCATCCGATGAGTTTCCGGAGCGTACCCAGCACCCGATACGGAGATGGCGGATTGGATCAGGTCGGCCTCGACTGTTACATAGAAGAGAGATATAGATGAATATGCGCACCTCATGTGGTCCCGGTGACTAGCCTTGCCTGGCTGGGCCTGCAGATTTTTAGAGACTTTTTCCCGCGTTCACAGTTTTCATTGCTAACATTTTTTTGTATGGATGTTTCCGGAAAAATGGAAATTGGATTCCACGGTTAAATACAGAGCTGAATGGCTACTTATCACGGGCATTATATCTATGATCTCTGAAGTGACAAAAGAGGATAGGAGCACTGTACAAGGTGTGGCCTAGGTCAGATAGCAGCCCAATATACCATGTACTTATTGACTCAAATAGAACAATAAACAAAACACACTCTTAATAGAAGTATTGCCCAACAATTTCTCTAGTATTTAGTTGTGTAGTGGTGAGATATTTCGTTTTATGGCCTTAGTGTTGCAAGAAAATATAATTATGAGGGTTCCCACATATTTTTAAAATTGCTATCTTCCCTTTGCGGCTTGGTTGGCAGCTTCTCTTCTTGTCGCTACAATACAATAAATCAGTAGTCTGGTTATTCGCTTAAAGTGATTCGTGACGTACCATCCTCCAAAAGAGTCGTATCTACTGCACTTGCTGGTAAGTGCACATAACGTACTACACTACCTCTAATGAAGACATTCTTGACAGATGACTTTCCTCACAATATTTTAGAAAATCTTCTCCATAAAGAGTGGATGTCACTGTACTGACTAAGTGGGGGTGTTTCAGGTCCTCAACGACTTGTATATCGTCCAACTTTATATTAAGATACTGATCTACAGATTTTAATGTACCTTTAATCTGGATGTCATTTTTGAGTTCGACAGTAACTTCATGATCGACCAGTGTCTTGAAAAAGCTGGGTTTAATTATCGTTAGAAATTCCCAAATCTTGGTAGTACATGACTGCAAGAATTTCAAACCTGAAGAAAAGCATGTCAATGAGATTGAGTGATTAGATGCGATTCAATGAGCGAGTATAATTACTTAGTACTACTTTAACTCTAAGACCCATTAGCCGCGATGTTATTAGACTTGCTTAGAGTATTTTACCTGCTCTATGACATGGGGAACGTACACTAGCGTTGACAGCCTTGATAGCCTGGATGGAAGAATGTGGTGAATGGGATTTGTGAGCTTATCGGTACCTTCATCAGAGATGTCTATGACTTATCTACAGCCCACTCGTTTACTGACCAATAATATAGCCAAATAAGTTTGCACATTCTATTTGTCCAGCCTTCAGTCATCTCCGTCGACAGCCTTGCTGACCAAGCGCTATGTTCCGCGTGTCGCGTCTGCTTTGCCTACCCCCGCTAGGGAGTAGACGCGTGATAATATTGTAGATCATTCCATGCTAGTTGTGTGCTCAAAAAGACAAAAGCCAATTCGCTGGAGGGCAAAGAATGAAGACTTGAACGCGGTGTCATCTATAAACCTGATTGTGAAATATTCTCCCAGAGCAAAGTTCAGTCAAATTTTGCAATATGATAGAAGTTAGCCCTCGAGGCAACAATTCAAAATACTCTACGTCAGTTTATCACTTCCAACGAGATCGCCTCCTACCTGAGACTCATCAAGTTCACAAGCACGACTTAGCATATCCTCATTTCAATGACCATACCTCTCATCGAATACTCTCTGGCCTCGACCGATCACCAAATAAATTTCCATGCCGATATTGATACGAGGAGGAAACAAAGCGTGACGCAAAATCTAGGAGATAGTTCTTTAGAACGGGCGTGAGAGTGATTAGGAAAATTTTACTAGATAATATGGAGGGTGGACATAATCTCGACTGGCGTGAAATTTTGGATTTTGGCAAGGAGTTTCATAAATTTAGTTATGTGCATGAAAAGACTTCGGTTGCGAGATTACACATGACACTGTAAATACAAGTCAACGATGGAAGACAACGTGGCTCGTCTCCTGGTGGTTGTCTTCGGTATAGCTTGAGTAGCCTAGGCACCCACTTCACTTTGGAAGGAGACGCCTTCGACCACATTTCGTGCGGAGAAAAGTCGATGTATGATGGAAGCATGTCTGGATAACTCAGGGTTTTTGAGACGTCTCCCTAGATCGGTAAATACGGATGAGAGTTAGCCTGGGGTGAAGAAAAAGCCACCGCAACTTCGCAGTGGCACTTGTAATTGAAATCCGAGGCATGAGAGCTCTCTTCTAAATTGAGTCACCTATTAGTTTCTTTTTTCTCTGAAATTATGTCATGGCTAGCTAGTTGCATACGCAATCAAAATCTGCTGCAAGAAAACCTAACTCACTCCGAAATTTGATCAGTATCTAGTCTGTTGAAAAATTGACTTAATATAAACATTCGATTATTCTCAGTACTTCCCTTGCAAATATCGTATCAAATATGACACACAGAAAATTCGCGTCTTCCGAACTAGATTCTAGCTGTGACTAGTTGCCTTACTTGCATGGCAAATACTTTCCTAAATTGCTGTCACTGCTTCCCTAACTGATACCCTCATAACGCAATATCATCTCTAGCCACGACACTGTTGTCATGTGTTCCAAATGTTTCGAAATCCACGAGAGAATATTAACCTCTCGACTCCGAATTGTTTAAAGCCATCTACAGGGCGACCTCCGACGCCACCTCCAGCTAGGGAAATGGCTACATCAGGCTTACCGCAGGCTTTTATCTCTCAATCAAATGCCAAATCCGTCTCTCCTAGCTTGCGGAAGCCTTCAATTAAAAAGCATACGTCTATAAAAATTAACAGAAAATCAAATACAAGCATTCTAAGCTTTTTCAAAAAGGTCGATTCTCCAATAAAGGATGATTCTATGTTCATAAGTTCTAGAGCAAATGCCTCATTCAAACCTCCAGCTCCATGTACATCAGGATTCGAAGCAGATTTAATTTCTAACCTAATACGTGAAGAAGAAGAAGGCTACGAAAATCTACGATTTAATGAGGTCGCAAGCTCTATAAAGAAACAAAAATTATCAAGTAACTCGATATTAAATGATGAAAAGGACACGGTAGTTGCGGTTGAGTTACAATCAGGAAAAATTAGCAAAGATTCTCAAGAAAAAGCTAGGTGTAATTTAGCACTTGAATCGCACGTAAAGCCTAAGCAACGACGAATAGGACCGTTCCTTTCCGATTCAGGCAGTGATAGTGACGATAATAACTATCTATCAACCCGTCCAACCACGAAACCTCTCGCTAACAAAGATGAAATTGTAACCAACCCGACCCCATATATCCCAGCTAATATAGCTAAAGAACACATAACCACAGTTGGTACTCAGGAAAACATACCTATATCTTGCGAGTCAAAAGAGACTGAAGCAACATTGGAAGAAATTTCCATCGGTCAAATTGAGAACTTAAAGAAAGAACCATTGTGCTCCAGTGAGAATTTAAATTTACAGATGAAAAAATTGCCAGAAAGTGCAGAAGAGATTCAAATGGTAACCTCTCCACTTCATCAGAAGTCGAAGGGTACAGAAATGGATGAATGGGCCGATTTCGAACGAGAAAACCTCTTAGAAGATGATTTGGTTGATGGTGAAGAATTGTTGTTAAGAAAATGGATGCATAGACAAGCAAAACTTGAAGAAGATCACGAAACTACTGAAACTTGTGAGGAGTTTGATGAAATTCCTGATCAATCCCCTGAAAGCCTTATTTCTACTGTCTGTCCAGTTTGTAATGTTAATTTCGATGGTGTTAAGGAGGATATTGTTTCGAGGCACGTAAATAAATGTCTGGATGTTAATGACATTCTATCATCAGAATTAAAGAGAGAACCAGAAGAAACAAAAGAATCGTCCAAAAACGCTAAAAATCACTTTTCCCGTAAAGCTGCTATTGCTAGGCCGAGCCAATCGAATCCTTTTGAACTTGGTATTACTGATACCAAACAGTCATCGGCTTTTTTAAAGCTCATGTCCAGTAAAGCTGAGGATACGGCGTGGGAAAATGCAGCGGCACTAGAAAACTCGTCTAAGGGAAAACCAGCATACAAAAGAACATGTCCTTTTTATAAAATAATACCTGGCTTTAATATCTGCGTTGATGCATTTCGGTATGGCGCAGTTCAAGGCTGTCATGCATACTTTTTAAGCCATTTTCATAGCGATCACTATATTGGTCTTACGTCTTCCTGGTGCCATGGACCTATTTACTGTAGTAAGGTTACTGCTAATTTAGTTAAACAGCAACTTCGTGTTGATTCCAAGTATGTCATCCCTCTAGAATTTGAAAGACGGATTGAGATACCAGGTATCCAAAAAGTTTCCGTTTTCATGATTTCTGCAAACCATTGCCCAGGATCATCGCTTTTCCTTTTCGAAAAGATAACGGGCTTGGAAGCATCTCCACGAAGTCAGAGAGTCCTTCACTGTGGAGACTTCAGAGCTTGCCCAGCTCACATCACTCATCCTCTTCTAATTCCAGATTTAGTCGATTCAATCACCGGGAAATTAAAACAACAAAAAATTGATGTCTGCTATTTAGATACTACCTACCTCAACCCTCGTTTTGCATTTCCTCCTCAAGAACAAGTGATCCAAGCTTGTGCCAAAATGTGTCTATCTCTAGCCAATGATAACTCTGAGGAATTTCAACCCCAAGATTTCAACAAACATGAGCGTATAGATTCTACGAAGTCGAAGTTTTTCACTTCAATCATTACTAAAATGGAAGATAAAGACCTAGCTAAGCCATCTCCGAGCAAAAGTCGGCGGGGTCGTTTACTCATTGTATGTGGTACGTATAGTATCGGAAAAGAACGAATTTGTCTCGGGATTGCGAGAGCGCTTGACTGTAAGATTTTTGCTCCTGCAAGGAAGTTAAGACTATGTAGCGCATTAGAAGATGAAGAGTTGATGAGCCGCTTGACTAAAGATCCTCTGGAGGCTCAGATTCACATGCAGATGCTCATGGAAATTCGAGCCGAAACCCTGCAAGAATATCTGGAAAGCTATAAGCCTCATTTCAGTAGAATTGTTGGGTTTCGACCTAGTGGCTGGACTTATAAACCTCCCATCACCCGGTAAGTCCTTTATCAACTCTTCTCAAATATACCCATTTGTCAAATGCATACTAATTTTAAATATTATCCCCAGCTCAATGCAAGCAGCAACTGTTCCACAAATACTCACTTCTCCATTGTGGCGCTCAAGCTTTACTCTCTCTGATTTAACGCCCCAAAAAGGCTCTAACCGTGAGACTAGTTGTTTTGGCGTTCCTTACTCTGAACACAGTTCTTTTCGCGAGTTAACCCTGTTTGTATGTGCTCTCCGAATCGAAAAAATTATCCCTACTGTTAATGTGGGCAGTGCAGCTGGAAGGGCGAGAATGAAAGGCTGGATTGATCGCTGGCTAGCTGAGCGGCGGAAGAACGGGCCTATCAAGATTGGAGATGGAAAAGATGAGATTGAATGGTTTTGATAAATGGAGACCTCAAAGTTATTGGGATTTAATTGGGACCTTATTCTGTAAAGTTGACTAAAAATAAACAACTCATCTAGTTTTGTAATCATACGATGAATTATTGTTTTAATCTGGGAAGTAATATAACTGCATTACAATAAGCTATTGACGTTAGAATTATATGTACACGCACCATAAGATTTCCTTAATCCATATCATCAATCATTGGCAAAAGGGAGACGAAGGCTCAACGCCTGTATGTGTGTATGTGGGTTTATTGTACTACTTGAGTCTATGACTATCTTGCACATTGGGCTCCTCTCTGACCCATGCCACACCTTAAACCGTACACCTTGCCTCTTTTGTTACTTGTAAGATCAATGATATAATGCCCCTGATAAGTAGCTATTCAGCTCTGTATTTAACCGTGGAATCCAATTTCCATTTTTCCGGAAACATCCGTACAAAAAATGGTAGCAATGAAAACTGTGAACGTGTGAAAAGTCTCCAAAAACCTGCAGCCCCAGCCAGGCAAGGCTAGTCAACGGGACCACATGAGGTGCGCATATTCATCTATACCTCCCTTCTTTGTGATATTAGATCCTTCATAGTCTTAGACTCAGAAGGGACTATAATAAAAATTCTTATCTTATAATATTAGAGGCAAACTTGATCCAATCCGCCATCTCCGTATCGGGTGCTGGGTACGCTCCAGAAACTCATCGGATGGCTTTTCTTCCATGATCAAGGGTGGGTGATGAGAAGGACTTCCACCCTACCATCTGAGCTGATCGTGGTTAGCTTCATGATAATAGTGATAGGGAAATGTGCTTAGGGATGAATACGATACAAACGGCGAAAGTGATTGGGAATCCTCATCGAAGTGAGGACTTTGTTCCTAAATCTCGGCTCTGCAGACTCTATAGATTCTACAATGACAGCTGAAGGTTTGTAGGGGACACCACTCACAGGTGTTAAGAATAGTCCCCCAGTAAAAAATTGAGAATATAAGACTATAAAATTAAAGATTATGAAGCTGGAGGGCTACTTTATGGCAGCTCCAGCCTCCTTAATTATGACTAAAGACTGTAATAGAACTTATCTGAGGCTATAGCAAGATATGGTCATGACTCCAGCCCCTCTGACTCTATCTGGAAAGTTTTCCATAGAACCTCCTCACTGAACTTTTTTGTTGGTAAAACACGAAGTAATACAAATTGAGTGCCGTCACGATGTTGGTGAATAAAGTCAATTAACTGGTATCTCGAAATACATATATTGTTGTCTCCTCCCATTCATCTCCATCTCCCCTCTCCTCCTCTACTCCGAGCGCCTCGCGAATGCGCTAAGTCAGATCCGTGTCAAAGTCTTGACAACATTCTGAACACTGCAATTATATAGAAAATTTCACAACGCCCGAATATGACCCTGTTACCGACACTTTTCCAAAAATCTTCTCCTTGAACCGTCTCAAGGATATCGTGTCTTAACAGCGTTCGTGCTACTGGTCTCTATGGAGGCTCCACAAGGGTTGATGTGTATTCGGACCTAGTCCTAATGTAGGTACTAAAAGAGCCCCGCACCCAGTGGTTTTTGCGATTTTTCTCGGCTGCCATACACCCGCAAATGGCCATCGTTTCGTTGGCTGGAGAGGAGAGATAATGAAGGGCAAAGTGCACCTCTTGGTGTATGATCGAATGAGGACCTCTAAGGAGTGGTACTGTTTGAGGGGAGCTGTATGGGAGGCATAGGAGGGGATATACTACTGGCATAGGTATCCTTGGCCTATAGGCAGAGAGGGCTTGCAAGTCCTACAGTGCCTCCGGGTTGGAAAAGGTAAAACTTCAAACTGGGATGTTTAAGGGATTAGCCCTGTAGGCGCAATTGGGCTAGCTCGTAATAGGTTAGTATGTCTCTCCTCCTTACCCCGCTCGCCATGAAGTATGGTCCAATCGTCTTCTTCTAATAATCGCTTAGAAAAACACATTTTCAACGACATTTTTGGCTGCCAAGCCTACACAATCACTGAAACTTCTCACCACTATCAATTCATCCTCTATTCTAGCAAACAATGTCTCTCGAAAAGTTTGCTTCAGAAACTAAAGTTCGCAAGCATCTAACTCGCGATCAATGTATAGAAATAAGAGCAATAAGAAGACTTGGCTTGACACTTCAAAATATATCCGACAAACTTGGCTTCACAACAAGACAAGTACAACTTGCGTGTGCTCGAGAGACTGAGAATCCACGCCTCGCAATGGACCCTCACCAAAATTAAGCGCGGAACAAGTTGATGAGCTTGAGGCTTTCGTCCGGGAGTCTCCTGAAAATAGACAGATGTGCTATTTGGAACTAGCCATGGAGCCCTTCGGCCATTGGGGATGTAGTGAACGTTTAACTTCTAACGCACTGAAAAAAAGAGGTTACAGCAGATGCATTGCTCGGAAGAAGCCTCCGTTAAGCGCGGTGGACAAGCAAAAAAGATTGGAGTTCGCCCAATTACATTTAGATTGGAACGATGAACAATGGAGTCGCATATAATGGACTGATGATGAGTTTGATGAGTTAGATGAGACTTGTATCGTGGCTCGCCATGCTCATGGGAACAGCTGGATGTTTTGGGGATAATTTTACGGATCACAAAAAGGCCCATTCCTAGTCTGGGAGAAGGATTGGGGATCAATGAGGGCTTCATCCTTTTGGGAAAGGATTTTGCCACTTTTGAATCAATCTCACGCGGAAAATCCAGAAATTCTATACATGCATGACAACGCACCATGTCATAAAGCGTACTCAACAATTGAGGCGCTGCATGAAGTTGGAATGACTCCTATTAGATGGCCACCTTACTCTCCGGACCTGAACCCGATCGAGTCATTGTGGAACATCTTAATAAACCACATTAAGGTAAATAGTCCTGAGAAAAATGGGGTAAGGCTTGTGCGCTCTGCCACGTTGAAGACATCGCTACAGGATGCATGGGACTCTATACCTTCTGAGGAGCTATTGTCACTAGTTGGCAGCATGCACGAAATATGTGTAGCGGTGATAATTGCAAATGGAGGGTACGAAAAGTATTAGGATGGAGAGGACCAATACAAAACATGTAGTACGCGCTCATTTTAGTTGCGAGCCATACTGAGGGCTTCGATGTAGACTTTTGTAATACAGAGCAATAATTTTTGAAATAGACGTGCACTTTTAGATAATATCAATTAATTTTTTCAACTTTGAATTTCAAACGAGGACCATTGTACTTTTCCCATATAGTTCAAAACCGTTCCCATAAATTAGACTTTCACGGAATGTCATTGGATAGTACCCCTTGCTTGCATAACTAGTCGAGTAATTAGATATGGGCCTGCATGAAGACTATACCAATTAAGGCAGTATGTACAGGGATCTTACACCAGTCAATTTGACAACTTTACCTTTGCCATCCATAAGAGACTGTATGTAGTCCAAGACACCGAAAGGATAATAAAAATAAAAATACGTTTGCTATAAGGCATGGAGCTTTGTTCATGTATACTTATTTCCCATCTTTATCTAAATTTCTTGACTCAATACTCCAAGCACTCAAGTCTCAGCATTTTATCTTTCGTTCATACTTCAAACTTCCATGCCACGACTAAAATGACATACGTTTGATTACATCTGAATGTTCATAACTGAACACTAATTCTCTACAAACTTCAATCAAAAATTACAAATTCCCGAATACTTCCGTGCTATCCGTACGTGCCGTCGAGCCTAATAATTTGGAGGTAGCAAAGTGCTAGTGGAACGGCGCTTATTTGCCGAGGTCTCAGAGCTTTATCCGATCAACTCTGTAGTGGCGCTAGGTTGAAAGCTAACAGCCGTAAGTGGTGCGCATCGTTTGCATCGAGGGGAACCAATAATTCTAAAACCGGTCCAAATATTGAATAAACTAATATGTCCTTGTCTAGGCATAGACTAAACAGGACAATGGGCACAAAAATATTCCAAAATATGCTCAGGTCGATTACGGTCGGTCATAATCGACCCCACTCTAGCTCAGTGCCGCCAATTCCATTCGAGAAAGCTCATCACTTGATGCCGAGATAATCTGTTGAATCTCCAGTCTGACCACTAGTTTCTCCACAAGTGAGAATTTGGGAGAATTAATGACGAGTAGGGGAAGCTTGTAAGGAATAAGAGGGGACAAAAGCTTATAAAAGAAACTCACTCACTCGTTTCAAAGCCCATATCTTCCAATAGAACTAATCCCATCGAACACCAATCTTTCTTATCATTCAAATTCTCATCCTCAGATCTAATCAATTTTCGCGATAACGAAACCATCAGAATGCAGATCTTCATCATATTTCAGACTATGATGGTTGCCGGGCTTATGGCTATGCCCCTCAAAATACATGGAATCCGCTCACTTGCAAACCACGTCATCAATGACAAGACTTCGAAAATGACGGAGAGGATGAATTTTGAACCCAATATCAAAATCTTGGAGAATGATATTGACGGTACTAATTTCAAGGAGCAGACTAGCAGGAACAAGGAAGGGAATCAATTTTTGCATGACAAAAATTCTGGAAATTTAACCAGCATGACTGCTATTAATAGCAATTCTTCAGTCAAGAGGTTGGCTCGAATTCTCTCAGTCCCATCAGTTTATTTGAGTCGTGTCATGAGTGGGCCAGAGCCACAGACAAAGCATGTGAGGAGAGCTCTCCATCAAACTCCTTCGGGGTTTCGTCTTGACGGGAAACACAAATTTCCTTACTTTAACCAAAAATCGATTTCTCACCTGAATCGACTCATGAGCAGTTTTCAACCATCTTCCTCAAAACATCGTCTTTCTCAGCCCTACGACAATCGAAATTCCCGGCTTCCGATAAAATTTAAGCATAGCTCCACATGAATCCAAGAGTAAGGCTAGATCCATACGCTTAAGTAACTAACTGATAATGTATAGATTGATGTCTGTTGCATATTTTAAGAACTCCTAAAGTCGATGTGCGTGGAGGATTGTGTCACAGTATTTTTACGGCGTTTTTCATATTAGAAGGTTAAACAATAGTGTTCGATTTTTCATTTCTCTTTGAGATCTTGCAATTAGTTTCATGGCCGTCTTGAAGATTTAGCATGTATCCCCAGAACTATGGACGGAGAAAGAAATTCATGAGGTTGCTTAATGATGAGCTAGACTAATTCCGATACTATTTAACAAAAGACCTGTCCTCACAATTAAAGGACTTTTTCATCTTTATCTGTCTACTATTGAATTCACCGGTTTCCACGTCCGATACTGACGAAAGACTCAGGTGGTATTTGTTTCACAAGCTTTCTGTAGCAATAATAACGATTGGTGGTTAACATGTATCTTGTTTCTTATCTCCTCTCTATAAAACACTCACTGACAGTTGTTACCCCTCTCTCCTGATGCTATTCCTAAACGGGTAACTCATTACTCTTTTTTTTTAAATCATTTAATGTGTAAGCAGCTACAGTAACTCATTACTCATTAATATAATCAGTCATTATTTTTTGAATCCATCTTATTGTCCTGCCTAAGTCAAAACTAGGAGGGTAAGACTGAACATCTGTACGCGGTGTCCTCTACGAACCTGGGAGTGAAATTTTTTTCCACAGCCAAGTTCAGTCAAATTTCGCAATATCAAAGAAGTTGGCCCTCAAGGCACCGACTCAAATACTCCATCACGTCAATTTTTCACTCCCAATGAGGTTGTCTCCTACCTTAATCTCATCAAGTCTAAAAGTACGAGCAAGTACATCCTCATTCCAATTACCACATCTTTCGTTGGCTTTCTATGGCCTCAGCTAGTCACCAAATACACCCTCACGCCGATATTTACACCCGACCTAGGAAGTAAAGCGTGGCGCACAAATACTGGAGACAATTCTTTGAGACATACGTGAGAGGTATCAGGACAGGTTCACAAGACGATGCTAAGGAAGGACATAAACTCAATGGGCGTGGAATTTGGAATTTTTCCACGGGGTTTGACGAATTGAGCTTTGTGCGCTCCAAGACTTCGCTTGCGAGAGTGTAGCTGACACTAAAAACAAGCAAACGATGGAAGGTGTCGTGATCCGCCTCCTGGTGGTATTATCCGGTATTGTCAGAGTAGCCTTGGCACCTACTTTACTTTGGAAAGAAACGCCTAAGATCACATTTTGCGCGGAGGAAAGATAATAGATGACAGAGGCATGTCTGGATAACTTAGGGTATTTAGACGTTCCCCTGGGTGGGTATTCACAGATGAGGGTTGACTTGGGGAGAGGAAAAAGCCGCCATAACGTCGTAGTGGTGCTTGCAAATCAAACCTGAGGCATGAGTGCTCTAATTCTAGTGTGTTTTTTTGATATTTCTTTTTGCATCAGATTTTAATTGCGTATGCAACTATCTAGCTATGACACAATATCAAGAAAAGTACAGAATAGATGATTCAACGTAAAGGAAGAGCACTCATGCCTCGGATTTGATTTGCAAGTACCACTGTGTTTTTATTGTACTACTTGAGACTATGACTATCTAGCACATTGGGCTGTGCTCTAATTCTAATTAAGTCATCTATTGTGTACTTTTTCTCTAATATTGTGTCATAGCTAAATAGTTGCATACGCAATTAAAATCTGATGCAAAAAAAGAGAATGCTGATTCCTGTTAGGCTCTACGAGCTCAACTGATAATTGCGAGCTAAAATAAAGTAAGCACACGGAAGACGGCACACAAAATTTCTCAGTGATTGCGAGCGAAATTACGTGCTGTACAAAAAAAAATGTAGACGGAGAAGCGAGCAGTGTGTATAAAGCAAAATAGCCCCATATATTAGGTAAAAGAACGCGGGTTCAATTAAATTCTGGGACTGCTAATGAAAATATTATTCATGTTAAACTTTAGTGCAGCAGATCGATTGTTGTGTAGTAAATTCATTACTAAAGGATGGTCTCTAATTATTACAAAATCTAATGTCTCGCGATGCTCGCATAGTATACTAATCTTTACCTTCACGTGATGCTTACGACTTGGTCTGATACAATCTATTTCAACAATTCTGTAAAAGTGCAAGGGAAATAATAATTGTGTAAACCTTAATCCTTGCATGTCCTATGTTAGCCCTAATAAGCGAGCGACGCTAAATGGGTTGATTTATGGGGGAACACTCTATACTTGGAATATGTGTAACTTTTGTATACTTAGATTTATATATACCGAGTTAGGGTAATATAACTTCACCTTTTGAGAAAGGTTTTTATATGGTAGCATTATCTTTTTACGATCAAAAGAACTCCTTTACTTTCTTCACACAACGAAAATGTCAGGAAAACTGTCTAAAGCTGATCGCGACATTATTGCACAACAGAAAGACAACAATCTTGAGTCCGATCAATCGGTCGCAAGTATTTCGGGCAAGACAAGGCCCAGCAATTACAAGATGGACGAGTCAAGGTCCAATAGGAAATCCAATGTGAGAAGGAAGAATGTCGATAACGAGTCTAGTTCTTCGGCGAAAAGGAGCGAACAGTCCGACAGCGACGACGATTGGTGGAGTCCTCCTCAAAGGACATTACAAGTAACCACAGCAGAAATAAATCTCAGGTGGGATCAATTACAGTGGAAACCACACAAGGACCACTTCTTACGCGGCTCCCAGGATTGGGGAGTTTATAAAAATGACGTGATGTTCGCTTTGCAGTCGATAGGGTATGTTAAAGGGATCAAATTAACAAACCTAGATAAAGCAAATTTCGGATCAATGATCAGGAGATCAGTGACCGATAACCCAAGAAGAATCATTGAAGATTTAAGCAGCGGATCGGATATGATGAAATTACTCAACAAGACATATCGACAGTCTGGCACAATACAGGCTGAAAACTTTTTCAATGACCTAATAGAGCTGGCTTACGACGGAGGTAACGCCATCGATTTCGTGACAAAATTTAGAGTCTGCGTTAGAGACTTTAAATCAACTGGTCAGGAGTTAGCTGACAATATCACAATACTTATATTCAAACGTGCGGTCGAGAAAAGGGCCCACAGATGGCATTATGAGGCCTCACATACCTCAAAAACCAAACAATGGTCGTTGGAAGAACTGATCAACGATTTCATCTCCAACCACAGTCTCAAGGCTTTTCATAACACAAACAAATATTATCCCAACAGAGACTTTCGGGTAAACTACAACTTTGACAACAAAAGGGGAGATAAAGCCAATATTCGGCTAGGTCAAATTGAAAATAGAGGCAAGCTGGCCTTTAAACCTAAAATAAATCAGGGTGACAAGAACCCTGAGAGTAAGAACCAAGTTGTATGTTACATTTGTGGAAAAACTGGTCATTATGCAAATAATTGCCATAGCAAGAGGGGAACAACTCAAGGTCCTCATCGATGTCACATCTGTAGGGGCAATCACTATGCAAGAGAGTGCCCGGCTCGAAAGTCAGATCATGATCGTCCTTTAAATCAAATTTCAACGAAGGGTAAAGAAAAGATGATCGAGTATAATGTTGGTGATGATTGGTACGATGAGTGGATGGAAGAAAATGGGATAGTAAACAACCCAGAGATTGAAGAGACGCCACACTCAAGTAATGATGATAGCTCATGCTATGGAGTGAGTTTAAACTTTGCCCATCAACTGAATAACGCATCAATTAACTCTTTAATTAGAAAGAGGTGGCTGTTTGATACAGGGGCTGATATTAATGCCACTAACAACCTAAAGAATTTTGTCAAGGAGTCTGTAAGGAACTTAAGACCACGGGAGGTGGCAATAAGGACAGGCAGTGGAGTTATTTATCCAGAGAAAATAGGCGAAGTATGCCTCAAGGTCAGAAATTCAAAAAATAAAGCGAGAAGGCTCAGATTAAAGAATGTCTTTTATGTTAAGAATCTTCCCGTAAACATTATAAGCGGCGAATTGTTTTACAGAAGTGGATGCTCATTACAAGGTGAAAAGCTTGTTGACAGTAATGGAAGTATTATATCTTTAATAAACGTCAATAAACGAGGATTTTTTCTCTGGCTTTCTGGAGAAGATGAACCAATGAAACATATCAAATCAGGATTCCCGTGCCAATTAGACAAAGAACACAACAGTAAAAATTCAAAAATTCCCTCTGACGAAACCATTAGAAACCTAACCTTGTGGCATCGAAGATTATGCCACCCAAGCGCAGATAGGTTGCGGTGGACAATTAAAAATACTACTGGCATAAACCTAACCCCGAGTGATGTTATCAATATACCATGTGAGGCTTGTGATCTAGGTAAATCTGTAAAATACACTACCAATGAGAGACGACGACGAGCTGAATACGTCGGAGAAGGATGGCACTGTGACTTGGGATCGAGCAACCCTAAAACCATGGATGGCAATAGTTACTACTGTTTAACGACGGATGATCTATCTAGATACCGTTTCCTCAAGCCACTGAAGACCAAAAAGGATGCGGCAGTTGAGTTGATGAACATCCTGAGAAATATTAACGCTGAACTGCAGCTTGAAGGGAGAAGAGTCAGGTGGATTACAATTGACGGAGGCAGAGATTGGGGCATGTCGAGATTTGAGGAATTCGCTGCAGACCAAGGTATAGATATCATTGTGTCCGCCCCAGACAATCAGCATCAGAACGGAGTGTCAGAGAGAGGAATTAGGTTCATACAGGACGCTGCCCGATGCTGCACAATTCAAACAAAAATACCATCGGTATTTTGGGACAAAATAATGGAGACAACATGCTATACACTCAATATGACATCTCAATCTCCAGTCGATCAGCACAAGACCCCATATGAAGTATTCTGGTCAGCTATGAAAGGCAGGCCGATTAAGCCAGACGTCAGTCACCTCTTAATTCCCGGATCAAGATGCATAACACATGTAGAGAAGTCGCGCAGAATTGCAGGAGAAAAGCTAGACCCCAGGGGTGCAAGGAGTGTGTTTCTCGGATACAAGGGACGTACAAACAAACTTGTATGGATATTGGGCGGTGGGAGATTCTTAGTCTCACCAAATGTTTTAGCATACGAGAACGTTGGTAAAAATTTGGGTTGGCCAACAGAACCCCAAGAAGTAGTGAGGTCATTGCCAACCAGCGTCCAACGTCGTTTGAGAGCTAGGAAAACCAACTATGCCAGAGAAGAGGACTACAATAGGACACGAAGTGTATCACCGCCACATGAACCTAAAGGACCAGGTCGGCCAAAGAAGACAATTAGAAGACCTTTTGACGAAGCACCATTGTTCGAAAGTCAAACAAGGAACAAGAACATGAGCCCAAGCATAAACAACGAAGATGAACGCCCAACAGAGGAGGACTCAGATCACGAGGAAGAAATTGGACAAAGTGCCCATTGCCTCATAGAAAAATCAATCAAGAGGCAACTCCATAACCTACATGGAGATGGAGACGACATGTTTAGGCTATTAGCTAACTCTTCATCTGTCGCTAAACAAATCGTATCACCAGATGAACCTAACCTGCAGGAAGCAATGAGTAGCTCCGAGAAAAACGAGTGGCTAAAGGCTATCTTTACTGAAATAAAGGGGTGTGTGGATAGGAAAACATTTCAGTTTGTTCCAAAAAATTCAGCCAAACAGAATGGCCAAATTATCTCAGCGAAATGGGTGCTTAAGAAAAAGTACAAATCAAATATGGAACTGGACAAATTTAAGGCTAGAGTTGTAGCAAGAGGATTTTTACAAAAGAAGGGTATTGATTTCAATGAAACAACAGCTTCTACGGCTAGATCAGCTAGTTGGAGAGTATTGATGGCATTGGCAGCCATAAATGAATGGCACATTCTGCAAGCTGACTTTATATCAGCTTACTTAGCAGGAGACTTAAAGGAAGTCATTTATATGCGACAGTTTCCTTACCTCAAAGAATTTTTTAATTCAAACCCAGATCTAAGTAAGGCATCAGGATATACAGAGGAAAGTATAATCCAACTACAAAGGCCACTGTACGGATTAAAACAATCCGGAGCGTGTTGGCAAGATAAAGTTAAATCATTAATGCATACTCGAGGGTTTAAAGCGTTGGCAGCCGACGACGCAATTTACTTTAATAAAGATAGTGGAGTAATAGTAGCGTCGTACGTTGACGACTTTCTATTAATAGGGCCTGATAAAAGTAAAATCAGTGCATTAACAAAATCCTTGAATAAATCAGTGCCACTGAATGACTTGGGAGAAGCTTCATGGTTTTTAGGAGTCAGAGTCCAAAGATCATCACCCACAGGGAGTGTGAGGTTAGACCAAAAACAATACATCGACAGGTCAATGATAGAACTGGAATTACAGAGTCAACGGCCCGTACCAACACCTATGTCAGTTGCTAGTAGGCTAGACATGAAGAAATATAACGGAAAAGCCTCGAGCACAGAGCTTTATAATTACCAGAGGTTAATAGGAAAATACAACTTTTCGGCATGCATGACCCGATGCGACACTTCACAAGCTATGTCTCAATTAGCGAGATACATGTGTAATCCTTCTCCCCATCACCACAAGCATGCGCTGAGAGTAGCCCAATATTTGTCTGGTAGTGCAAACAAGGGCTTGGAGTATACCAAAGATCACAGACACGTGAATGAATTCGGGAAATATGGATTGCATTGTGCTGTGGACGCTAGCTTTGCAGATGACTTTGAATCATCTAAATCAACAACAGGCTATGTTATATTTATGGGAGGAAGCCCAGTCATTTGGAGGTCAAAACTACAGACAACAGTATCTACACTGACTTGCGAAGCCGAGTATGCAGCCATCTTCGAAGCAACAAAAGATTGCGCTTGGATAAGGACATTCCTGGAAGAACTGGGGCAAATGCCATCCGGACCCATCCCTGTCCTTGAAGACAACAACGGAGCAATCAAATGGGCTAACAGTACAGGAATCAGCTCTGGCCGAAGACATGTTCGTGTAGAGTACAACTACGCCACACAGGAAGTTCGCGACAAGAACATTACCATAAGGAAAGTGGAGTCAAAATTGAACCCAGCGGACGGCTTGACTAAACCGCTTAACAATGCGGCATTTAACGAGTTTGTTGAAAGACTTGGAATGGTAGATTGATTAATTAGCGGATTCAGGTTTAGGGGGCGTGTAAAAGTGCAAGGGAAATAATAATTGTGTAAACCTTAATCCTTGCATGTCCTATGTTAGCCCTAATAAGCGAGCGACGCTAAATGGGTTGATTTATGGGGGAACACTCTATACTTGGAATATGTGTAACTTTTGTATACTTAGATTTATATATACCGAGTTAGGGTAATATAACTTCACCTTTTGAGAAAGGTTTTTATAAATTCATTATATTTATTAGTGAAAAGTATTGAGAATCGAGTAAAGACAAGCCATCCTCTCATGCCACAGAGCATGAACCGCATCTAATTCGGCTGTCACTGAATCCAAAACGCCACGCAAGCCCAACATAACCAAAATCTCTTTTATTGGACTTAGACCCCTGAGTCATCCTGAAGTATGCCGACTTTATCTATATGCTTGTCCCAAGCCTCACATAGTTCGTTGAGACTCTTTGTGTCGACAATGCCTGGTGTTGATTCTATTTCGTCCTCTCGCTCCAAGAACTGAAGGGCAAATCCTTCAGAGGCGTGCCATGCAATATGGCAGTGAACGAGCCAGGCCCCTGGATTATCTGTAAGTATTGCAAGGACTATATAGCCCACGGCAGGCATCATTACAACGTCGCGGCGCGGTCCGTTAACAAATTGCAAGGAAAGATTGCTCTGGTAGGCGCCTGTGCCCGCTGCTAGTACCCAAAAGTCGTGACCATGTATATGGATTGGATGGCTTCGATTGAATGGCGATGTAATGACAAAATAAACCCACTGGCTCTCCCCACTCAGTTTTACGACAATCTGTGGCTTCGTCCACGTATTGTTGCCTTCGGTCGATTGCAATAAGGTCGGGTACTTCCATTGGGAGACGAACGAAGTACCATTCACAGCCCAACGTACAGTGCCAACATCTGTTCTCTGAAGGTTTGCATCAGCCCTTTCGATAGCTGACGGAGTAGAGGCGACGGGAATGGATAGATAAGGCACCAAATTTTTCGATTCTTCATCACTGCAAGAATCGATCGTCGTGTAGGCGCTAGTATTTGGCTCTAGAGTTGATGAGCTATTATATCGTACTATTCCACGAATGTTGTCACGGTTCTCGTTTGTCGAACACTCTTTCTGGGGAACAGCTCGTATCCAGAAATCACCAGTGGTTGTTTTATTGGTGTGCACTATAACGTCGTAGCGCTGACCGATCCCAATGCTAAGATTAGTCGTGTTGTATGGCACGATTGGTACGAAATCATTGCTGATCACTGTCAAGATATGATCATCAATGCTGAAACGAAAATGGGTGTCGGCTGCTGAGTTTATTAGCCTCAGACGGTAACTAGTACCGGCGACGAAATTTGTTTCGAAACGTGATCCTGTGCCATTAAAGACGTTTGTGCCGTTGATCAGACCATTTGTTTGCGGTGGTGGCCCGGATATAGCGGATTCTAGCGCGAGCACTGGAGCAGTCTTATGCGACCAATCGCTGAGGATGAGAACACCTTTATCCTCGTCATAATTCGCAGTTGCGGGTCCATTAATTTGGATGCCTCCGAAAATACCGTCCCATGCCTGTACTGCGAAATGTGAATGGTACCAAGAGGAGCCATACTGGGATGCGCGCCATCGATAGGTAAAGCTATGGCCAAGTGCGATGGGACACTGGGTTATTGCTGGAACGCCATCCATGTAATTGGTCATATTCTGACGAACGCCGTGCCAATGAATGCTCGTACCATTGTTTTCCAAAAAATTGGTGACATGAACCACCACGGTATCTCCCCAGTCGGCGACGATAGTAGGCCCTGGAACGGAACCATTCACACTCAAGACGACGCGCTCAAATCCGTCTGGAGCTGCAGTAGTATTCACAATATTAAACCAGTACTCGCGGATCACGCCCGTGTCAGGAATAACATCGTAATAGTCGGTGGATATATCATAGTCACCCCAGCAGTTGCGGGCGCTTGCGTCATGGGTGCAGACCTGCTTGGATGCCGTGTGCGGATGTGTATGCACGCCAGTGAGGAGGACTTCAAAGACGAGAAGCAAGGCGAGGTATTTGAGCATTTTTTTGAAGAAATGACGTTAAAGATGCAATGCAAGATTGATAGCTTGAGATATGACACAGCCTGGGTATTATATTGCAGAACAACATCACCCTGTTACTTATACCTGTCATAATCATAGAAAACAAGACACCTGGGAAAGTGTTTTTCAATGTAGTCACGGAACTACCTTGGACACCCGTACTCGATTGGCTTGCCATGGATTGCAAGTCACCCGCGCCTACACCTATTGATAGAAATCTAAGCCCTATTGTCCCAAATCTTTAGAACCGGAAAGTCCGGTAATAGTTCGTTGAGACTGGTGGGAGGGTACGAGCCAAAGGCGTTCGAGTCAGCGGAGGGAGAGGCGCATGGCAGGATTCATTTCATCCTTCTCGCGATGAAATGCTGTTGGTCGAGTGAGGAGTCTATCTTGTCATCTCGACCCAAGGTTTTCGGGGCCCAGGGTCAAATACACTTGACAAGCTTGGCATTACTTTCGGAATCGCCCAGTCTATTCTCTTCTTCGTTTGCTTCAGCGGCTCTTATGCTTATCCCAGCTCCGGAAAGAGATGGGGAAGTATTCTGGTTATTATAATGCAGAGTTGCTAGCGTGAATGCCTTGAATCAGCTTGCACGCTTCATGTCCATTCGCTGACTCCTATGGCTAGATGTGATCTACTGACAGCTTGGGATGCCATATGAAAAAAAATATGTAGATTCTGGCTAGTTTCGGCGGAAAAGATTGGGAAATATCGAAATGTACCGAGGTGAAGTCCGGAGATCCGATAGCCACATCTTCTCGACGAAATGACTCGCAAGCAAGTCAGGGATCCAGCTTGGATCAGAGGATTCCCCAGCTGTCTCGTTCGCTACGGCCAGACTTTCCGCTAGTCGTCGCATCAATCGTACTCGGGCTGATTCTAGGCCGCGTCATCCTGAGGCCTGCGGCTGCAAAGATAATTGGCCGCTAGTTACGGCACTAGTGGCCCAGGCGTGCGGAAAGGAGGGGCTATCGCATGGTCGCCAGACGGCCTGTGCCCTTCGGTTCGGGGCGGGCGGGTAAACTGCTCCGCCCGCCTCTCCACAGCGGCTGGATCGCCAAGCTAGACTTTGGTGGCCGTGCATCATAGGTATCCACGAATCTCTATGCGCAATGAGCGAGCCCTTCGTTATATCCCGCGAGTCAAGGCTCTCGCATCACATATTCAGTCACGCCAATTTACTGCCAACCCCAGCATGCCAAATTTAGCTTTCACCATCGTGCATGATGACGGCAGTAAACACTCCAGCACTTTTTGTATCCGAAGCTGCCATACGTCTCCTGCCACAATCTGCTGGGTTAATTATGGTGCCTCTCTGACTAACCCCCGGTATATGAAGGTTGGGCTACCTAATTGGCCCTCTTCACCGATGGTTGCTAACTTCTTTCATACCCAGTAGGCCTGTGTAGTCGGTGGAGACGCCAAACTCTGGGAACTGTCTTACCTTGCCGTATTTGGCGGTCGCTCAGTGTGAATCGGCCCAACTCCATGCCATCTTCAGTATTTTTTATCGAGCGATTTCCGCCTCGGCTAGTCTTCAAGGAGAGACTTGTAGTACTAATCGAGGCCTCATAGTGCAGCTGCAGTCATTATAGTTTAATTATTTGGCAAGTGCATTCTTCCTAGAAAGACTGTGAATAAATTAATGCACTATTCCGACGAGAATTTGTAGAACATGTCCACTACTGCAGCTTGATTACTTTGTATCAACTTCCATTTAAATTGTCGATCTCTGCCCTCGTCACGTCTCAAGTTGGACTCCAACTATCAAAGCGTCAATGTGCGTCCAAGCATCGATGTGACTAACGTAGATATTCTGCAATTGCTGGGCATAAGTTGCACAATCTACACCAAATTTACTTTAACTCTCTTTCTATTTGAAGACTCACGAGTAGAATTTACATTTTATACTACCACGGTCGCCTGCATACACACTCTCTTTGCTTGTGTGTGTTTTTGTTTATTGTAATACTTGAGTCTATGACTATCTATCACATTGGGCTCCTCTGACCCAGGCCACACCTTGTACAGTGCTCCTTGCCTCTCATATTTCTTTAAAGATCATTGATATATTGCCCTTGATAAATAGCCATTTAGCTCAATGTTAACTAGTGGAATTCGGCCACCTTTTCCACGGAACCTTCTACCCAAAAAAAAAAAAAAAAAAATTGGTAGCAATGGAAACTGCGTGCGCGGGAAAAAGTCTCAAAAAACCTGCAGCCCCAGCCAGGCGAGGCCTAGACACCGAGACCACATAAGGTGCGCATATTCATCTATATCCCCCTTCTTTGTAATATTAGAGGCAAACTTGATCCAATCCGCCATCTCCGTATCGGGTGCTGGGTACGCTCCAGAAACTCATCGGATGACTTTTCTTCCATGATCAAGGGTTGGTGATGAAAAGGACTTCCACCCTACCATCTGAGCTGATCGTGGTTAGCTTCATGATAATAGTGATAGGGAAATGTGCTTAGGGATGAATACGATACAAACGGCGAAAGTGATTGGGAATCCTCATCGAAGTGAGGACTTTGTTCCTAAATCTCGGCACTGCAGACTCTACGGTGAGAGCTGGAGGTTTGTAGGGGACCACACTGACAGTTATTGAGAATAGTCCCCCCTCTTTGCTTGTATTAACATACCAAGTCCACGGCCTTTCCTACATATCTCGGCTAATCAACAGCTACTACACCGTAGCTCTCATAGATTGATGTAAGAAGTTTGGTTTGGCGTGAACTTGCTGCGGAACGCTCGAGACTCGCGTGAAACTTGAACTGGGAGTCACTGTAGTATCTTTTATGTTTAAAATATGCGAAGGCAGATTACGTAATGGACTTGGTGAGAAATTATTGTGAGAGCAGCAGTATCGGAACAGTATAGATCGCCATAGATGTCTATATTTGAACTCTGCCGGTATAATTCTGATAATTCATTAGCGTCGCTATGGGAGCAAACTTTTGGATAATCATTTATCCTCAGCTCCCTGGACTTACAAAGATATTAAAATTGCATCGTCTGCTGCACAAGCTGTAAATTTGACGTCGTAGGATACACTCGCCCGCAGGTATCTGACTGGCTGCTCGGACAATACCCCGAAGGACCACTATAAGATAGGCTCAAATGAGTGTATTTGTGACCTGGTAATTTTGCAGCTATTTGCTACATCATTAAAGAAAGCACGATACTATCAAAGTGATTCGTTATATTTTAGTGGCTCCCAGACTATTCGTCAGCTTCACTTAACGTAGACGGCAGTATATTTCCGCGAGCATTCGAGTAAATTTTCTCGGCATGACTTATATTCCGCCAAGTTTTTACTGGAATTCTCTCTCTAAATACATCGATCTCGGGAATTTTGCCAACGCAGACTTGTGCAGTCCGTCGGTCTTTTTTTCGTATGGTACTCGGGAGCAATGGGAGAACTCCTGCTTTGTGATCTCATGGTGCTCGCTCGTCAGGAAAATCGACCCCAATGAAGCGCATAAAACCACCTGCGAGCGAGTCATGAAGTAATGATACTCCTTCATCTAAGTTCGACCCGGGTCTCTTTAAAATTTGACCTTGCGCATTGTAGTAATAATTTTGTGTTGTACTATGCATATCAGGGCATTATCGGTATTTTCATTCTAAATCTTAATCGCCCATATTTTGTATCTCCGAAAACGGCAGTAAATACAATGGCCTTTTTATACTCGTTTCCTACGGCGAATAGGCAGTTATTTCCTGTCACTCCCTATATCGTATCCTGTCAAAGTTATATGCTTGTCATTCTAACTGTATCTCGGCCATGGGCCAACTTCAAAGTATTTCTCGCAGGCTATGTGGAGGGTTATGCCAAGTGATCCGCTTCTCGAAGTATAGTCGATTTTTTTGATTGATTTCCCTTGTCCGTGGCTTCATAACTCTTGTAGGATCGTCATGTTTGACTTGCCTGACTCGAAGCAGCCAGGAGACCCGACAGGCTGATGGGCCTGGGAAATTTAGCTAGGGAATGTATCCCGCAAGTGTCTGGTGATTTGATATAGATTAAAGCTATCGTAGATTATCACCTACCTTCCAGGTTTCGATTCAACCAGGCGTCGAATGTTATCTCGCACATACTTTAGCTAATTCAGACGCGAAACTTGGGTCAATAATACATGCTCGGATCTTCTGTTCTAAAGCGATGGTTGTCGTGATAGAACTTTTTTGCAGACGAGTGGGGGAGAGAAAGCAAATCAGGCTTGTGCTTATGCTACGCTGTCGATGGATACCAATGAAACAGCTTCTCCATGTTACGATGTGAGTCGAAGAAGTAATCAAGGCTAGATCATCGCGTGTGGCTCAAGGCCACAGCATATACCACTAATGTAATGGTTAGGCGGAGTGCAGCTGACACTATAAACACAAGCCGACGATGGAAGGTGCCGTGGTCCGCCTGCTGTTGGTGTTCTCTGGTATGGTTCAAGTAGCCAGGGCACATACTCCACTTGGGAAGGAGACGCCTAAGACCATATTTCCCTCGGAGAAAAGTTGAAAGATGATGGAGGCATGTCTGAATAACTCAGGGTTTTTTATACGTTTCCCTGAGTAGGTCTTCACGGATGAGGGTTGACTTGGGGTGAGGAAAAAGCCACCATAACTTCGCAGTGGTACCTGCAAATGAAATCTGAGGCATGAGTGCTCTTCCTTTACGTTGAATCATCTATTCTGTACTTTTCTTTGACATTGTGTCATAGCTAGATAGCTGCATACACAATTAAAATCTGATGCAAAAAAAAAAAAGAGTGCGCTACTGAATAACTAAGCCAACATATATAAATTTGCAATAAGATCCCTGATATCGACTATTGGTACCATCAGATCCACACGGATAGTGGAAAAAATTATATTAATCCAAGCGCGCTCTTTGCAGCGCGAACGTGAACTTCACCACGGCTTGATTGAACACGACCCAAGGATGCGCTTTCTCGGTGACTATTTTTGGCCTCGAATCTAT